TTTTCTCCGCTGCGAAAAATTCCTAGCACAAAATTTTTTATTGCTTGTTTTATTTTAGAGGAAATTACGCCACTCCAAGTGATTTTTATTAGAGCATCTCCAATGTTCAACTTTCAACATTCATGAAATTTGAACACATGTCAATCAATGGAATAATGTTTAATGTACATGAATTGAATGTTAAAAGAATAAGACTTTCATTTGAATTGTTACCTCCAATGCATCCATTCAACAACCATACAATTTGTATATGGGGATTTTTTCATTTATTAATAAAGTAAAAGTGTATATTAGAAAAAAAAACCACAAATCTCAATAATTATATGTATGATGTTTTTTGTTTTTGTTAATTCAGTTATTTTTATTTATATCGCCAAATTTATACAATTATTATTTATTAGTAATTTCAATATGTATAACCACACAATTAATATTTTTTTAAAATCCTTTTAGAAGAAAATCACAAATTATAATAATTGCAAAAAACTCAACAAACAAATATAATGAACAAAATATTATATTTTTCATATTTTTTTTTTAAATTTTAGTTGTAACTCATTATTAGATGATTCTATTGTATACATATAAATTATCAAAATATTTATTGAATTAATGGAAGAGTGGAATTTTTCCAAGTTTATAAAAAGCTCCAAATTTACCATAATTTGTGCAAATAATTACTCAAATGCTTAGTCATCATGTTAGAAAGAATGTGAGAAATTAGAAAGTGAGCTTGACAATGTTAACATTAATTTTTTACACATAAGCATGAAAGAGCCTATAATTTAATGCATTGGAGGATAAATTATGCATACACTTTTTATCAAGATGAGGTGGATAACTTTGTATTCTTTCAAAAGAATGCATTAGAGATGCTCTTATATGCAACGACAGTTAAAAGTTATTCGCAAATATACTATAATTGAGAATCTTATTTGATTTTAACAAAGTTGATCAAATTAAAAGGTAGTGGCGTGTTTAAAGGAATTTTATGTGGATTCAATAACTAAATTTCAATCAATTACATCTTCTTTTTCTTTCTCCTCATTTTCAATTTTTTCTTCTTCGCTTGATTTCTTCCCTTTTTCTTTTTCTCCAGATCTCTCTCCTTCATCCCAATTTATAGGGCTCCATGGAAAAGTGCAGAGTCTAGCGGCTTCGGTTGAGGGCTCGGGTACTCGGTCTCTCTCCAAATTTGATCTCAATCGATTGTTATGCTCATACACCAATGTAAATACAAATATATACGGGATATCAACAACAAATATACTTATGAATTTGGAATATACTTTTGCAAGCAAACGACAATGGACAAGATCACGTATATTTTCGGTATATAAAACATAGATAAACGTGTTCTTAGTAGTACATATACATAAAATATACACTTGAGTTTCTCGTAGTCCAAGCCACCGGTAGATCGAGACGTACATATATATAAAAGATACATAAAATATACACTCGAGTTTTCCGTAATTCAAGTTGGCGGCAGATCGGGACACACATATACATAAAATATACACTCGAGTTTCTCGACCAACGTAGATCGGGACATCGACGACATTTGAGAAGACTGGTTTAAATGTTGTAGATTTTATAGGATACTTCAGCATCACCTGATTGTATATATCAATTGCCATGGAATACCATTTATTTTTTTATTTAATCATGTGTTCCCATCGGTTACGGGACCTTGTTATGAGTAAGTAATTATTTCTATTCGTTTCTCAGAATATTGTACAAATATAAATAATAATTTGTTTAAGTTAAGGATAACTGCAATTAAGTTCTCTATTACGTATATATGCAAATAAGTGTAAAACACTAATGCATACATGCAAATTTCCCTTTTTTTTATTGTATTGTCGTTGGGCTAGGTTGGTAATTAGGCTATGTAGTGTAGGAGAAATTGAGTTGTGCCAGAGTGAAGTCTAGACTTGAAAAATTTTATTGTTGAGTTGGTTGCCTTCATTAATGAAATAATGACACTCCTTATCTATTTGCTCATAGAGTTTATATGACTACTCTCTCTTATTATTTAGATACAATTACCTTTTCTGTTTTCAATTATACTCTTTTTGTGGATTCTTTTAGATTTTAAAAAATATGTACTTTTTAATAACCGTGAAACGGTTTATCATCCCCTTATATCTATCCTTCTTTCCCGTAACCTACCTACCCCTTTTTTCCTTCTCTCCACAAATAAAGACAAACTTGATTCTCTTTATATCATCCTTATATCTCTCCTTCCGTCGGATGCGCCGGTTACAGAGGATGAGGTTTGATGATGGAGCCTAAAACAATGACAAATTTGATTCTCGTTGACGGGAGGCTGGAGGATGTGGCGGGCAGTGGTGGCGTAGGCGTGCCCTAGGCGCGTGACGACCCAGTGCAGACTTCCGATTTCCGATTAATATTGCTTCAAGTTTCGATTTAAATTTCATAGAGCCGAACCCTTTCTAATCTCAGAGACTTACCCTGAGTCCAACCTTAATTTTCGAGCCGATTGAACCCTGTGTTTCGTCGATTTCTGAAGAAACTCGAGATTTTCTTGTTGATTAGTTTTTTGAAGTATGATTTTTTGTATGTGTTTATTTTATTAGAGTTCTTAGTCTGAGGCGAATTGTTTGTTTTATGGGAATATGTTGATAATTCTATTTATGGAGATTAAACTTGTTTGAAAAATACAATGTGGCTACGAAATTTTCAATTATTCCAGGATCCTTCATTATTGAGTTATAAGATTAATGTTATTTTCTATGTTTTTTATATGATGACTGGTTGTGCTGCGGCAAAATTTAAGTTATTTTCATGTTTTTATCATGTTGCTTTAAAGTTTTTTTTCATGTTGCTTTTTCAATGTTGTTATGTTATTTTCATGTTGCTTTTTCAATTTAAGTTTTTTTAATATAATCTACATATTTAGTTGTTGTGTTATTACTTAGTTGCTGCTCAGTATCTTGTTTATATCTTTTCCGCTTTGAATATATCTAATTTCAGACCTCTTATAATATATGTTTATTTTGTAATTTTTATTTTTTATTTTTTTAAGATTAAGAAAAAATGACAGAAATTGATGGAAATCAAATTATACTGCAGACGTAGTAGTACTAATTGATCATTCTTTTTTTTTTTATGTTTGAAGAAGAAAAAGAAGAGGAGGAGAAAAAAAGAAGAACGGAGCAAAAAACGAAGTGTGAGAAAGAAGAGAGAAGGAAAAAGAGAAAGAGAAAGAGAGAGAAAAATAGGAGTTATTATTTGAATTTTGATTAATGTAACTTCCTATTCAAGCATTTTTGGAATTCATCATACCCCTTTTTGAAATTCTCATACCGGTTCATATTTGTAGAATTGTGTATTATAAATGGGGCAGTTATAAAATTTTCCCTTCATTAATTCGATAAGAGCCTAATAAATTCATCTTTTGACCCAAATTCCGAGCCTTAAAACTCTATTCATCGAGTAGAAAGTAATGATACTAAATTAATTTAGAAGTTTTTAGTATTTATATTTTCTCCAAGAATATTATTAATTAGTTTGTACAATGTATTTATGTTAGTTATTTTGTTGTGTAGATAATGAGGATTGGGATACTTGAATTATTCGATTTTCGACGTTCATTCACGTCTACTTGTTCAAAATGGAGTTTCTTTTCCAAAACTCAAATTTTTCACAAGTCCCGAATAAATGTTTCATTGTTACTATCACATTATTTATGTGATTCTCCACACACGTCATGTAACCTTCGAGTTCGCCAGTTCATGAAGCCCTTGAACTGGGCAACTATGTTATGGTCGATTACTTTGTGTGTTATTTCGCATGTAAAACAAGACTTCGTGTGTTAATTCGCACGTAAATCGGGTTGGAGAATTCACAAGTCACAAAAAATGTTTTTCATATGGTAATTGTATGATATTTAATCGTGGCATGTATTGCACAACTAAGCATATTTGGCTTACCCAATTTTTCTCCAAAACAACATTTTCAGGTTGACGGGTGACTGTGTTGGAGAAAGTAGTAGACGTCTTACGAAGTTTACTCGTATATTTTTATTCAAAAATCTGAACCGCCAACAAACTTTCTTTTAAATGTATAAGCCACCAAATAATAATAGGAGTATTATTTGCACATTTATACTATTAAATATAATTTTTTATTTACATTGTGGTTAATTTAAAATAGATCAATATAGAAGATAAAATAACTTACAACTTTGAAAAAAATATGGATTGGATTTTTTTTATTTTTTTTTTTATTTTTTTTTTTTTTTTT